GGTGGCCAGCCAGGTGGCTGGCGAGAGCTGAACATCAAGGCTGGAGCCTGGAGGAGCTTGGGCGGGTGTCATCAGCAGGTAGGTGAATGCTAACGTACATGGATAAATATCAGTTTCCTTTCAGGATCCAAATGTACATAACACATTCAGAGACACATAGGCAAATGTGTGAATGTGTAAGGGACCATGTGCACAGACACATGTTCCAATAAACATACATGTAGGAGCATTTCACTGACAACCACACATGGTCCTCCACCCCCAGGAGGGTCTCTAGGGAGTTAGTAGGAGTAGGAGGCATGGATGAAGCCCCCTGCCCAGACTTCCCACCTGAGCACAGAACCCTGACAGTAAGAAGGCATCTCCCCCAGAAATGACAAGGCCCCTGGGGGTGGTGACTCAGCTCAGATGGGGTGATCACATGGCCTCCCAACCTTGAAGGGGCCACCTTGGCATGAGAGAGAGAATGCTGAAGAGCCCACCAGAGTTCTCATCTCTCAGCCAGGGCAGCAAGGCCACGCCATGGATGGCAGTGAGGGGACCACGGAGAGTGTTGGAGGAACTAGAAAGACAGGGTGGGGGGAGGGGAAGGGGGGAGAAGGGAAGACAGGCTGGCAGGGAAGGTTACTGGTGTTTGGGGCCAGCACACCAGGCCCCTCTTTGGGTCACTGCCTATTGATTCTCAGAACCCCTCTGATCCCCCCACCCCATGCCCTGGGCCTTCTCACACTCTCTCCCTCCTCTGCCCCTCACCCCTTGCCCAAATTATTACAGCAGCCCCTTCCCGCTAGCTCACTCTCTCTTGCCAATGCCAGCTTCATGCTGCAGCCAAAATGTTCTTTCTAACACCACCCATTGCCCCCAGGCACCAGCCCTGAAATACAACATAATGTGGGTTTAGCCTCTTTAAATTTGAGAGCTTTCAGAATGGGAGGCCATGATAAAGCTGCAGCCTCTGGCACATGTTCTGGTTCATCTTTGGCAGCCCCGGGGGTCCCCAGCTCTGTGCCTGTACATAGTAGGTTGTCAATGAATGAGGCTGACAGATTCTGAACCAGGGAAATTGTCAGGACGAGGTGCCTGCCCCACCCACCCCAGGCCTGTAACTGGGTCACTGGAGAAAGGAAATCTGATAAACCCATTCAAGCTTCGCAGCTCCTCCCCCTCTCCTCAGGATTTGCATTTTCAGTTCAAGTCAGAGATAGAGACCTGAGTCTTAGTTCAATAGCAGTTGTGTGTTCCACTTAGTCTGACAAATGCTAGGAGCCTTGGGACACGAAGGATACCAGTAGAGAAATAAGGAAAAATTTTCTCCAGCCCTTTCCTTTCATAGATCCGGGGAAACTGAGGCCTAGAGGAGGAAAGTACCTTGCCCAAGGTGAGAGGGCAGAAGGTAGCCTGCATTCAATGCCAGTGGCACCCCAATTCCACTCCATCACTATCTGCCCACTAACTGCCTGTGTACATCCTGTCCACGGCCTGACCTTCCTGTGAGGAGTGAGTGAGCAGGTGGTATGGTCTGGGAGCCTCAAGAGACAAGGGGACAAGGAGAGAGCGAGATGGGGTGTGTGTGTGTAGGGGGGAGAGGGGGGAGGGTCAGGCAGAGGAAGGCTGGTGTGAACACAGCAAACACTGCGTAAACAAAAGGTGCTTTTATAAAGTTTTGACGTCACTGTTGCAACTGGAAAACTTCACCCCAAGCAAGGCCCCAACTCTTCTGTTTTCTCCACTCCGAGCTCCCTCTTGCCAGTCCTTTCCTCGTCCCTTGTCCAGATCCTCCTCCTCCAGGGAGCCTCCCTGACCCTACGGCAGAATCCACAGTGGCATGTTGCTGTGGTCACTGCAGAGGTAGATGGATCCCATCAATGTCAGGACAGATGGCGCCACACACACCCCAAGAGAGTATGACAAGTTTTATTTACGTAACTGAGGTCTCAGGGGAGCAGGTCTTATATGGCTGGAGAGGGCCAAGAAAGGAGATTGGCCCAGGATTTTTATTGTGGTTGGGAGTGAGGTCAGGGTGAGTATTTGTGTGGGAAGAGCAGGGCTTGCATGGTTCAAACCTCCCATGGATGCCAAAGGAGGGAGCGCAGTCAGTGCCCAGGCTTTCTCGTCAGCTTGTCCAGGTGTGGCACACAAGGGGAAGAAGGAGAGATGACGGCTTAAGAGCTGTCAGCAATCAAACATCAAAAACTGTAACAAGACCTAACTGGTTTGGCTCAGTGCATAGAGCGTCAGCCTTCAGACTGAAAGGTCCCAGGTTTGATTCCGGTCAAGGGCATGCACCTTGGTTGCAGGTACATCCCTAGTAGGGGGTGTGCAGGAGGCAGCTGATTGATGTTTCTCTCTCATCGATGTTTCTAACTCTCTATCCCTCTTCCTTCCTCTCTGTAAAAAAAAAATCAATAAAATATATTTTAAAAAACACACAAAACTGTACCAAGCCCTAGCAGGTTTGGCTCAATGAATAGAGCGTCGGCCTGCGGACTGAAGAGTCCTGGGTTCGATTCTGGTCAAAGGCATATGCCCAGGTTGCAGGCTCAATTCCCAGTGTGGGGGATGCAGGAGGCAGCCAATCAATGATTCTCTCTCATCACTGATGTTTCTATCTCTCTCTTCCTCTCTGAAATCAATAAAAAATATATTTTTTTAAAAACTGGACCCAGATGCCTCATTACATATGGTATTCCTGAGCCTCTGTCTCTCTCTGTGCCTACATTCTAGGTGAGCCCCTTCGCCATGGGGAAGAGTTGATGAAGTCAACTGAGGATGGAATGAGGCTGTGGATGCTGTCACTGAAACCAGAGCATTTTGGGTATTTGGCGCGAACTCTCCACCCCAGACCTGGCCTTCCAGTCTCCAGGTCTCCCTTCACCATCCCACCGCCCCCAGATCTGCCTGACACTCCTCCACATTCCTCAGCCCGGGCCTTCCCCCTAGCAGGCGCCCTGCTCCTGCTCCCACACTCCCTCTGGACACTCCCCTGGAGTGGAAAAACCATCCGTCATCCCTTTCCTGCCCCCAGCCCTGGGATCGGACATGCTGGTCATTCCTGTTGGGGATGGCCAAAGAGATAACGCTTGGCATGGAGCCCTTCCGAGTCATCACAGCGCTTTCAAATAGGCAGGACCCCTGGCCACACTGAGTGTCCACCTGGCCCCTGAGCTCCTGGCCCTGGCTGCCTCCTCTTCTCCTGGAAGAAGGTGGAGGAGCCAGCAGCCATCGTAAGGAGAGCAAGAGAAGTTCAACTTCCAGCCAAGTCGGCTTCCTGTATCTCCGAACCCCGGGGGCTCTGGGCCGCAGGTGGACTATGGAGAGAGGCTGCGTGGCTCTGGAACAAACGCTGTCCTAAGGACAGACAGGGATGGGGGAGTGTCCACTCCCCCAAACCACAGAGAACACTGTTATCGCAGCTGCTTTTGCTTAGGCATATCTGGCTGTCTGACCAACATCTGCCTGGAGTGTGTCTCTTAAAGACACAGCTGTGGCCAGTGGCTGCCCGTCCTCACCGCCTCCCGCGAGTTGTGTGATCCTGGACATTTACGTTCCCTTATCAATCAGATGAGGATGACAATCCTGACTTCACAGGGAGGCCAGGAGGAGGAAATGAGAGTCTTCGTGTGAAATGTTTCATCAGCTGTAACGTGAGGCTTGAGCCCCTCCCGGGCTCTGAATCTAATTTTGGACTCCTCATTCCTCACCCTTCTCCTTAAAGAGGGCTCCAAATTGTACAAGCTGCAGGCCTCACCAAAACTAGATCTGCCCTGGGTATTATGCAAATGTTCATTATTAGCGTAAGTGGTCCAGAGAGGCTCTGGGGTCGGGGAACACAGGATGAAAATCCGGGCTGTGTGCGTGGCCTCACCAAGCGGCTTGACCTCCCTGCGCCTGTTTTCTCCTCCCGAATCAGCGACAACCCCTCACCAGTTGTTGTGAGGGTTTAATTTAATAATTAAAGCCCTTAGCATAGTTCTGGGTGCATAAGGACTTGCCATATGGTAGTTTTCTTATCCTTCTAAACGCTCAGAGATAGGAGTACTAAACCGAACTTGAAGGCTTTGAGTGCTGCGGGCTGAACTCCCGAGCCCAGATAATAAAGCTCCTTTAGTTTTGTGCTGCAAGGAGGGAAACCTGAGTCCGACTTCATAAAGCACACCGTGACTTCTGACGTTCCCTTTCAGTTGATTGATTTTTCTGCTGATAACCTGTAGGCCCCGCCCACCTAATGCCAACGGGCACCACCCACTACACACCTGTGGGGACCGGCATCCGCGCCTAGTCTCCAAACAGTCTGAGCCTGGGTGGGAGAAGGGAACTTTGGGGTTGTGCTGGGCTAGTATCTGAAGGCAGGGGTGGGTGAAAATGTGTGCAGTCTGGGTCCAGCTCCCTGGCCACGCAGGGCACTCTTAAGAGAATCATTTCCCCATCCATGGGCTTCCAAGGGATACCAGAAGGCGCAGCCCTTCGGGGAAAAGGCTGACTTGTTGCTAACTACTACGGCTGCTTGGTTATTTACTACTGTCTGGCTTTGCTGAGGGGCCATTCCCAGCTGGGCTCAGGGTGGATGGGGGCGGGCAAGAGAGGAAAAAAAAAACCACATCTCCACGAGGACAGCGAAGGGGCTGCGTGCGAGGAAGAACGCCCAGAGACCGCCAGCCGCCTCGCAGGGGCGCCCAGCCCAGCGGCGGCGAGGCGGACTTTGCAGCCCGGGGCGCGCGGAGCTCCGTTCGCCAGGCTCTCCCAGCCGAGGCGGCCACGCCTGCAACGGCCTTTGCAACAGCCGTAGCTGCGGCAGCAAAACCCGCAGGACAGATCCCACCCCCGCCCCGCCCGTCCAATCCATCTTGATCGAAAGGCGACGCTCCTGGGGAGAAGCAAGGCACGGGGCGGGGGAATGAAAGCCTTTGGGGGCTCTCGACAGGTGTTTGGGGGGAGAGGGCGGAGCCGTCCTGGGCAGGATGAGGAGGGCGGGGCTGTGCTGCCCCTTTAAGAGGCGGCGGCGGAGCCCGGACCTTTTCTCTTTCCCCGGAAGGAGAGGGAGCGCGGCTGGGCGCGCAAGGTGGGGAGGTGCGGCGCTGGGCGTGGGAAGGCGGGGCGCGCGGAAGCACCCCTCCCTCCCGGCCTCCTTGCGGTCTACCAGTCTGCCAGCCCAGATCCGTCACCCAGCCGGGATCGAAGTCGACCGTGCGGCCAAGGGGGCGCGGCCGGGACGAGCAGCGGGGCAGGGTGTCCGGGGTGGGGGCGCGGCGACCAGACGCCGGGCTGGCCGGAGAACAGACCCGCGGACCTCGGAGCGCACCTGAGAGCGCGGACCCGGAGCGGATGTGAAACCGATCAGCGCTGCGGGGCTGAAGGACGCGGCGGGCCGAGGGTTTTGCGGTGGTGCGCGGGCAGGTGAACAGGTCCGCACGCCCAGCTCCGCGTCCGCACGCGCTCTCGCCCGGGTGCCCGCTCCCGCTCGCCTCCATGGGACCCAGCCCCCGCCTCGCCACCCCTGTCCTGCGCCCGACGCTCTGCGCGCTCGCCTTGATTGTGGCCGCCGGCGGTCGCGTCGCCTCCGCCTTCAACCTGGACACCCGATTCCTGGTGGTGAAGGAGGCCGGGAACCCGGGCAGCCTCTTCGGCTACTCGGTCGCCCTCCATCGGCAGACGGAGCCGCAGCAGCGCAACCTGTGAGTGAGGCCGGCGGGGGTGCAGTGGGCGAGAGAGAGTGTGTGCGAGTGCAGGGTGCGGTGCGGATCCGGACTTGAGTCGGAGTCCTGGCCCACGGGCCTCCGGCGACTGTGAGCAGAGATTAAGCGGGTGGGGACCTGGGCAGCCCTCCTGCTGCGGAGATTTGGCGGGAAGTGAAGGGATTAGGCGTGGGATGGGCATGGGGGGTGGGGCAGTCATCATTGGCAAGTGCTGACCCAGCCAGAACCTGTCTAGACGCAGCCCCTCAGCCCTTTAAACCTCCCTGGAGAACAGCATTGGGGTTCCGCTTCCCTGAGCCCCTTCCCTTCTGTGAATTGAGTACCTAGTACACCGCATGCCCCTTATTCTCCAGGGATGGGAGCTGGAAAAACTGCAGGATAGAAGCCTATTGGATCTCCCTCACCCGGTTCCTGGGGAGGACCTATGGGCACATGCATTTAAGCTCTCTCCCTTGACAACTCCCATTAAGTCTGCGGCCACGCCAGCCGCACCCTCTGCAAAGACAGACTGGAGGGGTTCTCAGCCTCCCCGCAGCTGGAGGGTGAGGTGATGAGTCTGGGTGTTTGGAGCTGTCCAGGGGCCTCCCTCTGAGCCCTTGAGGGTGGGGGAGTAGAAGAGAGAGGAGGGGCTGTCCCAAATCCTGCTGGGTCTCCTGCCCCCTCACCCCCAGGCCAGCAGTGACACCCTCCCAGCAGACATCTTTCCTGCATTCCACAGATTCATGTTGAGTCTTTAACCCTGAGAGTGTTTGTTTGGTTTGAAGAGGGAAATGGTGTTTTTCTGTTCCTTCTGTTCTCCTTCCCTACCAGCTGCAAGAAGGAAGGGAAGAGCTAGGCATAAGGGACAGAGGGGAACGAGGCTGCATCCTGCGCTCCAGTCCCCTCCTCCATGCTCACCACACACTCGTGCCCTGAGGGGCATGTCCAGGTTTCAGATGTTCGGGAAGGGAAGAGAGGTGGGGAGGGGAGGCTGTGCCAGGAGGGAAGGTAGTTAGGACAGGTCAGGCAGGCAGGCCCTGTCACTTTGAGTCGGGTCCCCTACCAGACCTCTGCCCCCACCTGGCGTCTGACCCCTCTGAGCGAGAAGACATGGTCATAAAAAGGGTGTGTTGAAACCTCTTCCAACTCTGGCTGCGGCCGGTAGAAACTTGAGGAATGTCAAAGTCCAAACTTGGCTCCTGCCCAGTCTGCCTACCTGAACTGGCCTAATTCCACGTCGCTTCTGCAGAGGCTAAGGTCACCACAGCCTTCGCAGCCCTGCCCCAGCGGCTGCGGCCCAGCCTTGGCCAGTCCTCCACCTTTTGGAGACTCTGAGTGACCGTCAACACAAGTTTCTATAATTGGTGCTCTTTCTGCCCCGATCCGGAAAAGGCTTTCCATGCTAAGGCAGCATCGTGCAAAGAGATCAGAGAAGCAAGAGGAAATAATGGGAAACTGGAGTCAATAAAGGATCAGTCACACCCTCCCCCCTTTCCTAGGCGACCTTGAGCAAGATATGTCCCTTCTCTGGGCCAGTTTTCCCCAAAGAGGAGTTGGCTTGGACCTGGATCTGTCTTGCTCCGTCCTGCCTCTGTTGCCCTAGAAGAGGCCACTGGGCATTGTGGAGAGAGAAGAGGCTGCAGAGTTCCATTGCCAGTTTACCTGTCTCTCACATCTGTCACTCACACCGGGGCCTTCATTTCCTCCCATGTCAGGGGAAGGGGACCAACACACCTTCTTCATGGGGTAAGAGTGGGGCTTCCATGAGAGAATGTGTGTCACATGCTCTGCAGCCGAGGGCTCCTGCCAGGACCTGGATGCACCCGCACTATCCATGGGCCTCACCCAAGATGGCTGAGCAGAGAAGTTCTACTTTTTTTTTCCCCCTGGGCAGCTAGAGGTGGCATTAAGCCTGACAAGAGCCCAGAGGTCCTAAAACTAATGGACCTCAGAAGCAGGAAGCTCTAGATAGACTTCTGGGCCACTCAGTACCCTCAGTCTTCCCCAGGGGTGGTTCTAGATCCTGGCTCATCTCCTGGTCTCACTGACTTCTGCTCCTTGGCCCTTTGGGAGAGCCAGCTGGCCCAGCTGGGCTTGGCTGTAGCCAGCTGTGTAGCCAGATGTGAACAGCTGCCTGAGTGCGCAGCTCAGGGGAACCAGCAATCAAGTCACAGTCCCTTTGGAAAAGGGAAAGGGTCCATGGTCCTGAACAAACTCTTCGTTTGGGGCTCACAGGAGGTTTTCCAGAGGGGCAGAGATCCCCGAAAGCACATGTAAAATCATGTGTGTTTGCATGTTGTTCTGGGGGTGGGAGCTGGGAGAGCGTAGCGTTCATCATATTCTCAAAGAAGGCCTTATTCCAGAAATGGTTAGAAACCCAGGTGTGGACCCTCTTGGTTCCCCATCAGCTCCACCTTTGGGCTGGGGTTCCCTGCCCACAACATAAGAGGCTCCCCCCAACCCAGGCCCCAGTTTCTCAGTCGCTGGACCTGAGGGGTGAGGAGTGGGGCAGAGGACCCGGTTGCTTTGGGCTTCTTGGTGAGGCGCATGAGGACCCCGGGGGAGGCAGAGGGACTATTCCTCAGGGAGATGGCCACTGGCTCCCCCGCCCTTAGCACCTGCTCTTCACTGCCTCCTGGGAATCCCGTGTCCTGGTCTGGCCTGACCTTGGGGAGATACCTCCGGGGCCCTGTCTCCCTCTCGCCCTTGCCAGGCAATGAAGGTTTCTGGGAAGCCTGGGGTGAGGGTGGCTGGGCCTCCTGGAAGATGAGGTCATCCCCGAGGGAGGCAGGAACCAGGATTACCTGCTGTGCTCTCCTCAAACATGTTTCCCGGGCAGAACAGCCACCTGGCAGCCTCCAAGGCTCGTGCCAAAGGAAACGGGCAAAGCAGGCTGCCGCTGCAGGCAGAAGGCTGCATGTGGCCTAGTGTCCTTTCCTCTGGCTCTCTCCACTGACCAGTCTGGGCCCAGGAGCTTACAATGGGGTGGGAGGCAGGGGAAGCCCGATCCTGTAGAAAAAGAGAGGGGCTCGGTCAGAGCTAAACAAAGGGGAAACAGGATGTCCGCTGCAGCAAGAGGAATTGAGGTTAGATGACATGAAGAATGCCCTCAGGGATCAAATATGGAAAAAATAGTATGGAGCAAGGGAGAGGGAGAAGAAATGAGAAAACCGGCCTTGTTCCCTTTTATTGGAGGCTTGGGCCTAGGTCTCTTTCTCCCGTCCTCCCTCATTCTATCCCTTCCTCCCGCTTGCTGCTCTGGTTCTAGGGCTGAGTCACCAGAGAGGAGAGGGGGCTGGCTGGGCAGCGTAAGAAGTAAGGGGAGGACAGAGAGGGCTGCAGTCTCAGCCACCACAGGACCGGCCTCTGGGAGATGCCTAATTCCGGCATCAGAGTTGGCACAGAGCTGGGATCCAGGCATCTGAGAACTGCTGCCACCCCACCGCGGGCTCAGAGCTGGGGCAGCCCCCTCCCCAACCAGCTTCTAGCCCTGAGGAGTAAGGCATGGGGGCCCATTAGCTTGAGCGCTGGACCCTCTGGCCCTCTCCACTGGAGCCACCCCAGCGCCCCCCTGAGGGGAGGAGCCTGTTTCTCTGAGCATCACCCCACACTCCAGTATCCCAGGGGGGCCTTCCTCTCTTTGGGGTGAGCCAGCCTGGTGCCCTGACACCCCTGGGCCTCATACCCCAGGCCCCTCCCATTCTGCTACTTTCTACTTGGCTGTTGCATTAGCCTTGAACTGTCAAAGAAGTGAGAGGCAGGAGTGAGGAAGTGCTTTTCCAGAACTTGGGGGCTCAGGGGGCTCCCCAGGGGCCAGGTGGGGCTGTCTGGCTGGAGCCACAGGAGAGGGTGAGGAGACAGCTCTTTGAAAGCCTTTAAGAGGTCATCTTACCCATTCCCCTACCTCCCGGAGCGGCTCCCTGCCCACCAACCCCAGCCCAGACTCCAGGAGAGGTTTGATCTGATCTCTTCTTGCTCCAGGGGCTGAGCAAAGCCTCCCTCCTAGCCTCCTTCCTTCTGACTGCCGCTGGGAGGGTGGGCTCAGTGGTGGTCCAGAAGGGGTCAGCTTTTGGATTCTCGGATCTGGACCAGATCCAACAGCAGACAGCAGAGCGCTCATTTGCATATTAATGTGTAATACATTTGCATGTCAGTAAGGTCTCTCCCACCCTCTGGGTGCTCCCACATCTGGCTGTGGCTGGAGGCAGCTGGATCTGACCCTCTGCACACCACCTTCCTCCATCCACTCGCAGTCCTCTGACTGTAGACCCATTGGATCCTGGGCTGGGAGCCAGAGGGCCTTAAAGGGCCTCTGAACAGGCCAAGTTGGAGCTAAAAATACTCCAGGGGGTGGGAGTGGGGGCTCCCTGTGGAATCTCTGGGGAGGGTGGGGCTGGGGATGTGGGCCTGGCATTGCCCTGCCGCCCATCAGTAGGCACGAGACTGGTTGGGGCAAGGCCGGGGGAGGGTATAGATGGTAAGGGGATTTATTTCAGTTCAGTTGCCTTTGTGCCCAGCTCTGCCTGCCTGGTTCCCCAGGAGGCTAAGAGGAGGGGACCCTCGGCTCCCTCCCTCAGACATCTTGGGCAAGCAGCAGCAGGAGCAGCAACCCTTCCATGGCATTGCAGTCCTGGGAGGCAGCCTGGTCTCCTCTCGCCCACTGAGGCCTGGCCCCACCCCTTCAGGGTCACTGTAGCATGACCCCAGCCTCCACCAGCCAACTCTGAGCTCCCACCCTGGAATGACACCAGCTGCCAGGGCCCCACCCCCACCTTAGTGGTTTCCTGGTCTCCTTAGGCATTGGAAGTGCTGCTGTGCCCCATCCTCTGCTCCCTCTAAATAACTGGACTCATCTGCTATGTGTCCTCAGCTCCAGGCTCCTTAAGCTGGTGGGACAGAAACTCCCGGGTGCCTGGGGTGTGCTGGGGCCAGTCCTGGTGTCTCAGTACTCAGAAGGACAGTGTTCACACTGACCATGGCTTCATAGCCAGAAAGTCCTTCCAAAGGGAGAAGCCATTAGTTCCCCCTGGAGATTGTCGGGACAGCTGCTGTTCCCATTTCACAGACGAGGCACTCAAGGCTCAGAAAGGGAAAGGAAATTGCCCCTTGAAGCAGAACAAACCTTACAACCAGACCCTTAGGCTCCGAAGCTGGAATGCTCCTTTCCAAAGGCTTCCCTCTCTCATCTGTCAGGCTCCCTAGGGGTGGGTGTCCATGGGTGGTCAGGCACCCTCCTGAGCTTAGACAGAGGGTGACTAACTGGGCCTGGCTGCCACACTGGCCCCCTGCCAGCCTTTCTGCCTAGCACCACCTAACACTTCCCCAGGGTAAGGTCTGAGCTAAGGTGTAAGGTGCAGGCAGGGCCCCACCCCCTTCCCAGCACCTCCAGGCCGCGCATTCCTGACACCCAGTGGGCAGAGGCACCCAAGTCCTGGCATGCCTAGGCCCCGCCCTGCCCACTCCCTGAAACCTTCACTCACAGGTTCCAGGCAAGAGCTGCAGGCGGGGTATGGCACCTCCAGACTCTGGCAAGAGGCCCAGAGCCTGAGTTCTGAGCTGGGAGCCTCAGGGCGCTAGTATTGCTGGGGCCCCGACGGAGGGGCTCCTAGGAGGTGCCTGCCACCCAGGAGGCTGGGTCCATGAGAATCAAAGAGGCGGTCCTGGCAGAAGGTCCAGAGGCTACAGAGAGATGATGCGATGATGCTGGGAGAGTAAGGAGTGGTAGAACTGGGTTCTCAAACTGGGTGTACAATATTTGGGGTACATGTTAAACATGCAGGTTTGAATATTCCTATTCAATTCAGGTGGTCTGTGATGGGCTGAGGAATTTGCCTTTTGAACACATATCCCAGGGATTTCTGATGCTGGTGGTCCAAGGACTCTTGAGATATGATTCCGAGGCGAATCCCCTGCCTTTCTGTCCTCTAGTCACCTCTCTGGTAGGGATGGCTGGCTGGGATCCTAAGCATTCTTGTTGGAACTTGTAGTCAGTGTCCCTAAAGATGGGCAGCCTGGGGACCCATGTCCACCCTCATTCCTACTTTCCAAGAATACTGCCCTGGGGACAGAATGTCCAAAATGTCGAGTACCCAGTCCCACCCAATACCCTGAGCCTGTCTTAAGGTGGCAGTGGGGGCGGGGTGTAAGCATCACTCAGATTCCTTAGGGGTCCACTCCTCCTAGACCTAAGTCCTCAGATGGCTTAGAGTGGAAGGACCCAGGGTCCCAACAACTGACCCCACGCCACCTCTTACACGTTTTCTCCCAGGTCCTCCTGGAAGTTGAGCCCTGCGCCAGGGTCCCTCCAGGCTTGCTCTCGTTCGGTCTACCTTCATCTCAGAGGCCAAAGCATTCCTTCCAAAACCCAGACCTGACCATGTCACTCCCAGATCTGACCATGTGACTCCAAGATCTGACCATGTGGCTCCCAGATCTGACCATGTGACTCCCAGATCTGACCATGTCACTCCCAGATCTGACCATGTCACTCCCAGATCTGACCATGTCACTCCCAGATCTGACCATGTGACTCCAAGATCTGACCATGTGGCTCCCAGATCTGACCATGTGACTCCCAGATCTGACCATGTCACTCCCAGATCTGACCATGTGACTCCAAGATCTGACCATGTGGCTCCCAGATCTGACCATGTGACTCCAAGATCTGACCATGTCACTCCCAGATCTGACCATGTGACTCCAAGATCTGACCATGTGGCTCCCAGATCTGTCCATGTGACTCCCAGATCTGACCTTGCTCAATATCCCTCCATGGCTCCCCAAGGCCCTTTGCACCCTGCACTCTTGTCTCTCCCCAGGTTCCTGGATTCCAGCTGTGCCAGGACCCTGCAGATACCTGAGTCATCCTGCTTGCTCATGCTTCCTGGCCCCTGGCCCACGCCACACATATGCCTGAAGTGCCCTTCCTCCCCTTCCTCACCTGGCGGCCTGGTCATCATTCTCAGATTCAGACCAGGTCCCCTCTTCCCTGGCTGCCCCTCATGCAGAATCGGGGCTGGTTTGCACCCTGCTTTCCTCTCATGAGGTGCTGACTGCAGAGGTCTGCTTCCTGCCTGCCTTCTCCTACGGGCCTGCTCCTGGAGGTCAGGGGCTGGGATCCGTTTATCTCCTGACCCCAGAGCCTGGCACACAGCCTGGCAGAGCAGATGCTCAGTAAATGCAAGTTAAATAGCAAGCTGTTTGAAGTGGGCTTTGGGGAGTCTGAGCCCAGGCCCCCTACCTCCTTGCCCCACAGGCTCCTGGTTGGTGCTCCCCGTGACCTCGCCATGTCTGATGGCTATACCAACCGGACCGGTGCTGTGTACCTGTGCCCACTCAGTGACCGCAAGGACGACTGTGAGAGGATGGACATCACAGAGAAAAGTGAGGGGAAGGGGCTGGGGATCAGTGCTGGGTCAGGAGCCTGGTGGAGAGGGTAGCAGAGAGATAAATGACCTGGAGGAGATGAAGGCTCACCTGGGCAGTTTCTAGTCACTTCTTGTCCAGCTGGGAAGAGGGAGTCTTAGAGGAGAATGGGACCATATGGGATTTGTGGAGCTCAGACTGTGGGGGGCTGGAGGAGGGAGGAGGGCGGCTGCCCTGCTGGAGTGGAGGACCCCAGGGGGACTAACCCCTGCCCTCTGGAAGCTCTGGGCACTGGGAGGATGGGGTGCCCTGACCCGTGATCCCTCCCATGCCCACAGGTGACCCTGACCATCACAAAATTGAGGACATGTGGCTTGGGGTGACTGTGGCCAGCCAGGGCCCTGCAGGCAGAGTCCTGGTAAGTGGGTACTCCAGGCGGTTCCCCCCTTCAGCCCTCTCCTTCATCTCCCCGGAGCTGCGGAGAAATCAGAGGACAGAGGGGGTCCTTGGTGCATGAGCGGGGGCTTTGCAAATGACTACGTCTATGGCTCTCTGTGTCTCAACCCTGCATTTATGGAGAGGGAGGGGGGTCTGGCACTCTCCCAAGACCCAGCATGGCCTGGGTCCTGTCTGAATCACACTTCCTCCCTGCCCCACCCCTGCTACCCCCTGGGTTGCTCACCCTTCGCGGGAACAGCTACAGGAACAGCAAAGAGAAAAGGGCAGATAGGCCCTGAGGCCGTGTGGCCTAGTCTTGCTCCTTCCGGGGAGCCTGGCTGGCTGTCGGAAGAGGGACAGTGCTGCTGACCTCAGCTCACTTGGTTTGGGTCTGAGGGCCCGTCCCTCTTATCAGTTGTCACCTCCTGCCCCATTCTTTTTTTTTTTTTTTAATAGATTTTTATTGATTTCAGAGAAGAAGGGAGAGGGAGAGAGAGAGATAGAAACATCAGTGATGAGAGAGATTCATTGACCAGCTGCCTCCTGCACGCCCCACACTGGGGATCGAGTCCGAAACCAGGGCATATGCCCTGACCGGGAATCTAACCGTGACCTCCTGGTTCATAGGTCAGTGCTCAACCACAGAGCCACACCAGCGGGCATCCTGCCCACATTCTTCAGTGCTGGCCCCGGGAGCTCTCAGTTTCTGCGTCCCAGAGAGAGAGAGATTTTAAAAACTGATATAAAACGTAGATACAGTGCCGAAACCGGTTTGGCTCAGTGGATAGAGCGTCGGCCTGCGGACTGAGAGGTCCCGGGTTCGATTCCGGTCAAGGGCATGTACCTGGGTTGCGGGCACATTCCCAGTGGGAGATGTGCAGGAGGCAGCTGATCGATGTTTCTCTCCCATCGATGTTTCTAACTCTCTATCTCTCTCCCTTTCTCTCTGTAAAAAATCAATAAAATATATTTTAAAAACAACAACAACAAAAAACGTAGATACAGCAAAATGTACAGGTTGTAAGTGGCATTGAGTTTTGAAAATTATACACCTGTGTAACCAACATCCATTAAAGAAATAGCGTATTCACAGCATTCTAGAAAGTGTGCCCCCTTTCAACCAGTCATCACCTCCAGACCCATCACTGCTGTGCTCTTCGCATTTGAACACTGTGTTAAGCTCCGGGTTTGCATCACTTTACTCAGACACCTTATGCAGACCTCTGTTATGGATGGTGTGGGGCTAGGACCCACTTAAGGCCATTCTAGATACTGGGTCCTTCAGTGTTGTCTGCTCACCCAACTATCTGTTCCTTCAACAAGTTCTTAGCGAGCACCTATTGTGTGCCAGGCACTGTGCCAGCACCAGGAACTTGGTGGTGACAGGTCAGGCTGGGCCAGTGGGAGTGAAGCTCACAGCTGGAAGGCACACAGAAAGTAAGCCACCACGAACGAGGCCTGGTGCGGGGTTTTTGCCTGGCCCCTGGCTGTTTTGCAAGCATCCTATTCCGATTGATTTGCCCAATAACTATTTATCGGCCGTGTGCTGGGAGAGGCGACGAGAGAGGCAGTGCAGCCTAGTGCATAACAGCTTAGACTTCAGAGCCGGACAGCCTCTCTCGGATGTGAGATCTTAGACAGAGACTCACTCTCTGTGCCTCTAAAATGGAGAAAGTGATTGTCCCTACTCCATAGTGTTGTTAGGAGGCTTAAAAGGCTTAGCATGTGAAGAGCTTGGAGTTGTGTCCGGCATGTAGTAAGCACTCCGGTTCAGCTGCTGCTGCTGTTGTTGTTAGTTGTCCTTTCATTAAGAGGGCAGGGTCATTTGGGGACAGCAGAGAAGCAAGTCCCTTAATCTGCTGGTGATCTAGCTCCTTTAAGACCTGAGAGCTTGAACCCACATTCCCTCGTCCTTTCCCCCTTTCCTTTTGCCAGAATCTCTGAGCCACTCTCAAATCCAGTACCTTCTGGCCCTCCAAAGAGTGTTTCCAACCTTCAGAGCAGATTTCTGAATTCTGGAAAGGAGATGCAGGTCCAGGCATCCCTAGGAGGCTCCCCTTTCAGCTCCTGTCCCGCAAAGCCAGGGGTGCGCAGGGCCGAGGGACAGCGGGCCCTGAGTCCTTGCTGCGGGCTCAGGCTGTGCGCCGGGGTGGGGTCCCCAGGTCTGTGCCCACCGCTACACCCAGGTGCTGTGGTCGGGGTCGGAGGAGCAGTGGCGCATGGTGGGCAAGTGCTACGTGCGGGGCAACAACCTGAAGCTGGACCACACTGACGACTGGCAAACCTACCACAACGAGATGTGCAACAGCAACACCGACTACCTGGACACGGGCATGTGCCAGCTGGGCACCAGCGGCGGCTTCACCAAGAACACTGTGTACTTCGGCGCTCCCGGTGCCTACAACTGGAAAGGTGAGGACCCTAGGGGCAGGGGAGGAGCAGAGACCACCTGCCCCAGCCAGCCACTGGGACAGCTGGCCGAGACCCTCCACGCTAGGGGGCAGAGGAGACAGACCCCCTGGCCAGTATCAGCAACCACCACAAGCCCTACTATTTGGAAGCACTTACACATATTATCCTGATTAACCTTCAGATACTCTATGAGGCAAGTGTTGTTATACCCATTTTACAGAAAACTGAGCCTCAGAGAAGTGAAGTAAATTGCTCACGCCGACAGCAGGCTCTGAAACCTGAATTAGAATGCAGGTCCATCTGCGTCTAGTGTAGCCACTTAAAAACTGATTTAAAAAGCACGACATGCTCCGGGTACAGCGACTAAATGGTACAGTAGGATTTGGTAAAATAAAGAGTAAAAGTGCCCCTCCTCTCCTCCCTGCCATCACCCATCTCCCTCGTCCCATTTCCCAGTGTACACTCCATCTTGTGGACCCTCCAGACTTATTTTAGACTGTAGAGGTACCTTTAGTGCACACACAGACAGACTCACACTAAACAGGCCGTTCTACTGCTTTCCCTTTACAGTAAACTGTGGGCATTTTTTTTTTCATGTCAAGACATATAGGTCAACCTTTTGGGGGCTGCAGAGTATTTCCTTGTACCAAGACCCATGCTTGTAACTACCAGGGCGCACACGCCTCACGGCCCACACCCCCTGCATCTGCTTTTCTCTGCCACACAGGTTGTAGCAGCAGCGACCCATCTCCTCTTACTGTGCCCTATTGTTGTCGAATCAACAGGCAGAGGGAGCCCAGAACCTTGGCCCTTGGCCCGGGTCTTAGTCACAGCTCTGTGCTCACCTGAACTGAGGCCTCTGCTCATTCCTGTGGTTCTGCCCCCCACCCCCACCCCCACCCCGGTCCTTTAGAACCTTGGTGAAGCGCAGGTACTCTCCAGCAGTAGCCTCGGGGAGCAGGGGCCTGTGGGCAGCCCCAGTTCGGGGGCAAGACTATGAGGAGATAATGGCATGAAGTCTGGCATCAGTGTCCAGAGTGGGGGAAGTGTCATCTAGTCGCTGCGAGCCTGGATGACCAGATTCCAGTCATGTCTCTACAACTAGCTCCTCATGCCTAAGCCTCACTTTTCTCATCTGCAAAATGGGGGGAGGGGCCATCATTCTATTTTGCTGTTGTTGTTAACCCTCACCCGAGGATACTTTTTCCATGATTTTTAGAGAGAGTGGAAGGGAGATGGAGAGAAAGAAACATCAATGTGAGAGAGAGACATCGCTTGGTTGCCTCCTGCATGCATCCCGACCAAGGCCAGAGATCGAGCCTGCCACCAAGGTATGTGCCCTTCACTGGAAGCAAACTCAGGACCTTCAGTCCATGGGCCGATGCTCTATCCACTGAGCCAAACCAGCTCGGGCTGCTTTTATTTTAATATGTTTTTATTGATTTCAGAGAGATGAAGGGAGAGGGAGAGAAAGATAGAAACATCAATGAGAGAGAATCATTGATCGGCTGCCTCCTGCACGCCCCCTACTACTGGGGATCAAGCCCGAAACCTGGGCATGTGCCCTGACTGGGAATCGGACCCTGACCTCCTAGTTCAGTGATGGCGAACCTATGACACGCGTGTCAGAGGTGACACGCGAACTCATTTTTTTGGTTGATTTTTCTGTGTTCAATGGCATTTAAATATATAAAATAAATATCAAAAATATACATCTTTGTTTTACTACAGTTGCAGAGATCAAAAAATTTCTATATGTGACACAGCACCAGCGTTAAGTTAGGGTTTTTCAAAATGCTGACACGCCGAGCTCAAAAGGTTCGCCATCACTGGCCTAGTTCATAGGTCAATGCTCAACCACTGAGCTCCACCAGCCAGGCTACTTCACAGAATTGTTAAAATAAAGAGGACGTGATTTGCACCTGGCAACGTGCGCACAAATATTTTAAGAGGTTATTATTACCCTTCTCTGGGGAGGGGGCCTGGACAGGGTGGAGGAAGGGGTGGTGGCTTACACTCCTCTCCCCAAATCCTCCTGAAGGAAACAGCTACATGATTCAGCGAAAGGAGTGGGATTTATCCGAATACAGTTACAAGGACCAGGAGGACCAAGGAAACCTCTATATTGGTGAGTCCAGTCGTGGTGGCCCAAAGGGTGGAAGAGGAGGGGAGGGGCTCAGTCCCTGGCACGCTGGCCCTCTCACCTTTGGTGCCTGGTGGAAGGGTGAGGCCAGGGTACAGGTGTAACTAGTGGTATTTAGTTCAATTAGCGCTTATTGAGCGCCAAGATGCAAAGTCCCTACCCTCATGGGGCTCACAGTCCAGTGGGCATCCAGAAGCCACTTTCTTGCCCAACGTAGAAGAGAGGAATAGAAGATAATGGGGGGTGACCTTGGGGGTGCATCCAGAGTAGAAGGCAACAAAGTTTACCTGGGGCCTTGATTGACCACCTTCCCCCATCCCAGGGTACACGGTGCAGGTGGGCAGTGCCATCCTGCACCCTACAGACATCACCATTGTGACGGGTGCCCCGCGGCACCGACATATGGGTGCTGTCTTCTTGCTGAGCCAGGAGGTAGGCGGAGACCTGCGGAGGAGGCAGGTGCTGGAGGGCACACAGGTGGGCTCCTATTTTGGCAGCGCCATTGCCCTGGCAGACCTGAACAATGATGGGTGAGAATCCAGGGACATTCTCCGGGGCTGGGGAGAGTGGTGAGGGGAGCAGGCTTGCCAAGGCAGAGACAGGGAGGCTTGCATTTGTTTGCACGCTGTTGCAGGGATTTGCAAATTACTCTTGTCTGTTGATTTGCAATCAGACTTTCTGGGATTCTAGGCATTTGCATGTCAGTTGCATGACACCTGCTTCTCCGTGTCTATGCCGGTCATTTCTCTGGCTCTAGTGCATGTGGGCTGTTTGGGTGTGATCTGTGCATGCATGTCTTCCTCGCATGTGTTTCCTATTAGATGGGGTTATGTTGGCATTTCCTTGGCTTTCCCACGACGCATGGCCAGAGATGCCACTTGTACAGCCGTGTGCCCTGGCACAGTTATGCCTGCTAAACCACAGTTATGCTGCATATTGATGGCTGGCCTCAAACTCCCCTGTCCCCCTCCTTCTCTTCTGTGCAGGTGGCAGGATCTCCTGGTGGGTGCCCCCTACTACTTTGAGCAGAAGGAAGAGGTAGGGGGTGCCGTCTATGTCTTCATGAACCAGGCAGGCACCTCCTTCCCGGCCCACCCCTCCCTCCTCCTTCACGGCCCCAGTGGCTCCGCCTTTGGCTTCTCTGTGGCCAGCATTGATGACATCAACAAGGACGGATTCCAAGGTATGAGCCAGCACACCCGCCCCAGCACCCCCACTGACTGAGTGCCAACTGCATACCAAGCTTGGCAGGGCCCGGGGAGGAGAGGAGATGCGGCCGGGCTGGGAGTGTACAGCAGCGCTAGAGAGGGGATGTGTCGAGGGAGCCACCACGGGCGAGGAGCGAACATACTGCTGGGCATCGAGGGCTGGGCTGAGTGTGCACCGTGGAAGGGAGCTGAGGGGTACGAGATGAGATAGGACACCTGCCTGAGGCCCCCAGATCTAGCCGGTGTGGGGGGTTCGTTTCAGAGATGAGGCTAGAGAGGTAGCGTGGGGGTGAGGTGGATGTTGTTGAAAGCCAGGCTTTATATTTGGGTAATGACAGAGGGGTGTCCAGAGAAGGTGTGGGGGCAGGGATCGGATATGATAACTTGGTGCCCTGGTCCCTGGTCCCTGGAAGGAGATGTGGGACGGATGGGGGCGAGCAAGGCTGGGGTGTTAAAATCAGGAATGTCGTGTCTCAGGAGGGGGATGTTAAGAGCCGGGAAAAGGTGGGAATCCTGGATATAGAGGATGTCACCAGAACTCTGCAGCACGTAGGGACCCATCAGACCTGGCTGTTCGCCTGGTTGCCATGGGAGCACCTGGTGTATCTGGAAGTCGCTTCTCTGGCACTCTCAGTTTCCCAGAATATAGCTGAAAACCAAACGGAAGGCAAAGGAGCCTCCAAATAGTCCAAACAGGTGACAGAGGGTTCAGCTGATGCAGCCCAAAGCCCTTACTGGTACGGGAGTCACCCGGTTTCCACTTAGGACCCACTTGTTCTTCCTCCACATACTTCTCCAACAAGCTTGGCATTCTGTGTACGGAGGCCTTATCAGATCAAAGGCAGCGAACTCAGAGTTGAGTCAAGTTTAAGAAGCTGAAGCAGTTTGGATTTATGCGTGGAAATAATGGTTGGAATTTTACAAGTCTGGACACTTGAACATTTAACACTGTAGTGCTGGGACTAAAATCCCAGCCGCCCCCTCCCCCCACGCTAGAGAGGCATGGCCTCCGGGATCCTCTTCTCTACTCATCAGCTGTGTGACGTTGGGTTTTCTGAGTCTGTTTCCTCATCTATAAAGTGGGGACAGTGGTACCGACAGCCAGCACCCTTGTGAGGATTAAACAAAATGAGTGGCTTGCTACCTACCTGGCACAGTCAGCATGGGGAGCCCCGGCTTTTGTGACCCTGCTGGCAAATGACTTTAGGAGAAGCAGGTGTCTGGAGGGGAGGTTGGTGGGGGAGATGGAAGGCACTGTAATAAGGGGAAATAAACAGCAGCCGCTGGCGGGAATCGGGAGGGTGGGCCTGCCTGAGACACTAACTAGCTGTCTGACTGGGTAGGTCACTTCCCTCTCCTGGACCTACTTCCCCACCTATACAAGGAGGCAACTGGGTGCCCGTCGGTCCCAGTTTCAATCCTGAGCCACAGAGCTCTGTTTCCTGGTGATTTGAGTACTGCCTGGCAGGGTGGGGTCAAGGCCATGCTGGGCTCTGTGGCTGGAGCACAGGATTGGGGCGACAGGGGGCCCACAGTCCCCCGGGTGACCTCACTCTGCCTCTCTTCCCCAGACATTGCTGTGGGAGCTCCGTTTGAGGGCTTGGGCACGGTATACATCTACCACAGCAGCTCCAGGGGGCTCCTGCAACAGCCCCAGCAGGTATGACAGGGCCTGGGGCCTTCCCTCCTTGGCTTGCCCACCCCCTTCTTACTCCCCCTGGGCCCCCCTCCCCAGATCCTACCCTAGAGCTTGTCTTCAGGGCTTCCCCCTGCCCCCAGGTCATCCACGGAGAGCAGCTGGGACTCCCTGGCCTGGCCTCCTTCGGCTACTCCCTGAGCGGGAAGATGGATGTGGATGAGAACTTCTACCCAGACCTGCTCGTGGGGAGCCTGTCGGACCGCGTCGTGCTGCTGCGGTGAGCCAAGGCGACAGTGAATAGGGGCCTTCTCCCTCCCACCCTGCCTGCAGGGAGCCCTATCTCCGTCCGCCTTCATCACCAGGGCCACCCAAGCTTGAGCCCCGGCCTGGCCTGGCCTGAGGCAGGTGGGGTGCTGATGTCTGGGTGTTTCCTATGCAGGGCCAGGCCCGTCATCAACATCCTCCACAGGACCTTGGTGGCCAGGCCATCCGTGCTGGACCCCGCGCTCTGCACAGCCGCCTCCTGGTGAGACTCGCAGTCCCCGTTCTGCCCACCCTTCTCCTTATGCAGGGGTCCTCAAACTACGGCCCTCGGGCCACATGCGGCCCGCCGAAAACATTTATCCGGCCTGCCCGCCGGGTGTTTTTGCCGGGGTAGAGGTGGGGTTGGGAGTGAGATCCAGGGGAGGAGGGACAAGGACAAGGAGAACACCTAGTTGGGTGGAGGTGGGGAAGGAGAGAGCCACCTTGAGCAAATGATTCATCTTTCTGAGTCTCAGATCCTGGCCTATAAAGCAAAGTTAGTAATAACCAATTTGCAGGATTGTTGTGATTGTTAAATGAGATAATGTACAAAAAGACCTTAGCATGGTACCCTGTGCACCCTGAATGCTCAAAATATGTTAGCTGCTAGGATGGTGACCATGATGCGGATGGCCCCAAGGTCTTTGTGTGAGGGAGGATATTGGGTCAGAAGGCAGAGGGAGACAGAGCAGGGGAGAGGGGGCATAGAAGGAGATCTGGCCCTAGCCGGTGTTGCTCAGTGGATAGAGCATTGGCCTGTGGACTGAAGGGTCCCGGGTTCGATTCCGGTCAAGGGCACATGCCCAGGTTGTGGGCTCGATCCCCAGTGGGGAGCATGTAGGAGGCAGCCAATCCATGATTCTCTCTCATCATTGATGTTTCTATCTCTCTCTCCCTCTTCCTTCCTCTCTGAAATCAATAAAAATATTTTTAAAAACTGGTTTAATAAAAGAAGGAGATCTGGACTAGGGATCCTGAATAAGACTGGCTGGGCCACAACTCCAGGCAACCCCTTCTGCTCTCGGCCTCAGTTTCCCCATTGGGGACCTCTGTCCCTGTTTTCTATGGCTCTAATGGGAGTGGGGAGGGAAGGAGCCAGGGACACCCCAGACCAGCTATGTGGACTCCCCGTGTTGCCCCTGCCTCTCCCCTGAAGGGCCCAGTTTCCCCTTGCCCGGTAAAGGGAGTAAGAGCGAGGGCTGGATATCTGGGTCCCGCTGTGACCCGGCCCTCCTGTACGTCCCGCCTCCCCCAACAGTGTGCAGGTGGAGCTGTGCTTTGCATACAACCAGAGTGCCGGGAACCCCAACTACAGGAGAAACATCAGTGAGTGCTGGGGTGCAAGGTGAGGGGGGGCAGGCTCACCGGGTCACTTGCTGACCCCCTGGTGCTCCCCCTGCAGCCCTGGCCTACACGTTGGAGGCAGACCGGGACCGCCGCCCACCCCGGCTTCGCTTTGCGCAGAGCCAGTCGGCTGTCCTCCACGGCTTCTTCTCCATGCCCGAGCGGCGCTGCCAGAACCTAGAGCTGCTCCTGATGGTGAGGGAGGCGCCAGGGGAGGGCCACGTCCCTCAAAGAGGTAGCCAGCACCCCCCCCAGGTCAGGGGTGCGGGACTGGGGTCTCCCCAGAGACAGAGGTGGGGGAGGTTGCCTGGAAACCCATCGGTCTTCGGGGGTACAGTACACAGCCCCCAGCATGTGGTAGAGGAGAGATGGAGACCTTCTGAGAAGAGTGAGGGCTGAGACTCCTGGCTTGGCTCGGCTCCGGGGAAATGGGTCTGTGAGTGGGGGGCAAACTCAGCCACTCTCTGGGACCTTGGGGTGAGAGGGAGACCTCAACTGTGGAGCCCAGGGGTGAGGGGAGGCTCACACCTCCCCAGAGCTATCCCTGCTCCCCAGTCTCATCTGTGGATCAAGGTGGTAGGAAGGGGACCAATTTGGTTATAGGACAAGAGGAGGTTCAGCCTTCCTGGGGGGCCTTCCCAGGTGGAGGGGGGCCCACGCTCCTCCCTGGGGACTCCGGGTGGTGTCAGGATTCAACTCGGCAAGGGAGGGCGGTGCAGAGCTGGGCTCAGCTCGCCCTCCTTCCCAGGACAACATCCGCGACAAACTCCGCCCCATCGTCATCTCCATGAACTACTCGTTACCTTTGCGTTTGCCCGACCACCCCCGGCTGGGCTTGCGGTCCTTGGACGCCTACCCGGTCCTCAACCAGGCACAGGCTCTGGAGAACCACACGGAGGTGGGTGAGGCCGGCGGGCAGGGCGGGGCCGGGAGGGCTGTGGGCTGTGGGACGAGAAGGCGCCGCGGTCGGTCCTGCGCTGCTCACGCCTCTGTCCCCCCAGGTCCACTTCCAGAAGGAGTGCGGGCAGGACAACAAGTGCGACAGCAACCTGCAGATGCAGGCGGCCTTCGTGTCGGAGCAGGGGCAGCGGCTGAGCAGGTGCACCCTGGGCCGCACCTATTGGCCAAGCGTGGGGAGGCCTTCCTTAGCTACCGGGATTGAGGGGCGGAGATCCCAGGGGTGGGGCCTCAGAGGGAGGCGAGGCTGAGAGGCTGGACTTTAATTGTCCGGGTAGGATGTGTAACTGACCTTCACCGCTTTCTTCCACCTGGCGAGACTGGAGGGCGGGGCCTGGCTGTCCGGAGTAGGGGCGGTCTAGAGCTAGTAGACCAGAGGGGCGGGGCCTAATGGGGCGGGGCGGGGCCTGGGCGGGGCTTCGGGCTCCGTCTAAGGCTCCTCCCTTTTCAGGCTCCAGTACAGCAAAGACCTCCGGAAACTGTTCCTGAGCATCAATGTGACCAACACCCCAAGCAGGGACCGGGCTGGGGAAGACGCCCATGAGGCGCTGCTCACCCTGGCAGTGCCCCAAGCCCTGCTGCTGTCCTCAGTGCGCCCTGTGAGTGCCCCGCCCGGGCTCCATCATGTATTTGCATCCTTAGATGCATGTCATTTACATGTGTTGTCATGTGTCCCCTCTTCTCTGGGCTGGGCCTCCTCGGGTGCCTGCGGCATCTCTGTTGCTAAAGGAACCCCGTTCTCATGCCTCTAGGGCTTCAGACCCTGTGATACAGGGAAGGGGCGGGACCAGCCCTCCTCTGACCACCCAGACCTCATTATCTTCTTTCCTTAGGCTGGAACCTGCCAGGCCAACGAGACTATCCTTTGTGAGCTGGGGAACCCCTTCAAACGGAACCAGAGGGTAAGCCCTGGCCGCATTCTCCAAGGCAACTCCCTGTTCTTCTCGCTTCTGCCTGCCTGCTTCCTGGCCCTCCTTAAAGCAAAGAGCCAGGTGGGGGAGGAGGAGATCAAGGAAGGGGTGCAGAGAGATCCAGGGGCTGAGAAAAATGGAGCCACTAGTGAGCTGTGCACAGAGCGAGAGGCGGTGGAGGTGAGGAAACCAGTTTGGCAGAGCACCTCCTCTGGGCCAGGCCCCACGCCCAACACTGTGCTTCTTCTATATGACTGTAATTCTTACAGCCTTCTGAGGTGGCAGATGCTGTTTCACAGATGGAAACACAGGCTTAGAAAGTTTTAATAACTGACTTAAGGTCATGTAGCTCCAAAGTAGCCGAGTTGTCACTGACAGAGAAGAGGAGAGGGGACGCGGAGATGTGACTGGGAAGGTACAAGAGTGGAGATGGGTGGGGAGGTGGAGAACGCTCACCCAGGATCGGGGGGAAGAAGTGGCCAGAGAACCGATCTAGCACAGTATTGAGCCCCCGCCCCAGGGCATGACCCCTGCATGGCTCCAAACACCCTTCTCTGCCTCCCTGGCCATCATGGCAGATGGAGCTGCTCATCGCCTTCGAGGTCACTGGGGTGACCCTGCACACAAGGGAATTCCAGGCGCAGCTGCAGCTCTCCACGTAAGTGACCTCGCAAAGCCAGGCTGTATTGGGGTTAAGGGGTCCTGGGACCTCCCCCAGCCCCAGCCTCAGCTGACATATCTCCTTACCCACTCCCCGCACTTCCTTCCCAGGTCAAGTCACCAGGACAACCTGTTGCCCATGACCCTGACTCTGCTGGTGGACTACACTCTCCAGGCCTCGCTTAGCATGTAGGTACTACCATGACCCCCAGTCTTCTCTTCCTGAGCTAGGGCCTCCCTGTCCTCAAGGTGTCTCCAAGCTTCTCTGGCACAGCTCTCTTGGCCTGGTTTCCCGAGGCCTTTCCATCCCCTGGATCATCCCTCCCCTTAACAACAACCACTGTCATTGTTGTGGTTGTTATTATTCCTCCTGCAAAGCCAGCAGCAGTGGAGGAATCAGCAACTCTGGGGAATAAGGTGTTGGTACCATCTCTTGACAGCTCATTGTGCTAAGGATGTTCTATACATCATCTCATTGGCTCTTCGTAACAGCCCATGATATAGCAACAATTATTAACTCCACTTTACAGATGAGGAAACTGAGGCTCAAAAAGGGTAAATAACTTGCTTGAGGCCACAGCTATGGCAGGACTGGAATTTATCTTAGATCTGCCTAATGTCCGAGGGAGTTAACCAACTTTGGTGCCCACCCCCTCTGCCAGAGCCCCTCCTGCCTCCTGTGACTCCAGCATCTTTCTTACCGCTAGGGTGAGTCAACGGCTACAAAGCTACTTTGGGGGAATGGTGATGGGCGAGTCTGGCATGAAAACTGTGGAGGACGTGGGAAGCCCTCTCAAGTATGAGTTCCAGGTAAGGGGACTCTGGGACCCTGGGCCGGAGACTTCTGGGAAGGGCGATGGGGCAGTTCTTTTGTCTGGGATGTCAGGCTGTGAGGGTGGGGGTTGGTGAGATGGAGGTGGTTTTCTAGGAGATAGTAATCTTGACACCCTTTGTGCCCACAGGTGGGCCCAGTGGGAGAAGGGCTGGCAGTCCTGGGGACCCTGGTCCTAGGGCTGGAGTGGCCCTATGAAGTCGCCAATGGCAAGTGGCTGCTGTACCCCACGGAGATCACCATCCGAGGCAACGGGTCCTGGACCTGCCAGCCACCAGGAGACCTTGTCAACCCTCTCAACCTCACTCTCTCAGTAAGGACACCACAGGGGTCTTTCATTTGCATCTCATTTGCATGCTGCAGGGCAGAAAGGCCAGCGTCTTCCCACCCCTCCCCTCACACTCTTAGGGGTTCTGCCTCTCCCCCTGCGCTTTCTTCCTCTCCTCACCTCCGCTCATTCCTTCCTCCCAGCAAAGCTCCTGTTCCCTCTTCAGGTCCCTGAGGACAGACCGCCATCACCACAGCGCAGGCGGCGACAGCTGGACCCGGGGGGAGTCCAGGGCCCCCCACCTGTTCCTCTGGCTGCTGCCAAAAAAGCCAAGTCTGAGACCGTATTGGTGAGTGGCCAGGGTTGGAGAGGGTTGTGGCCACACATCCAGGGGGCTTGCGAAACAAGGGGAATAGGGACTGTTCACCAGGAGACCCCAGTCTGATGAGGTGACATAGCCCTTGTCCTCAGGAGCCCCTAGTCAGAGCAGCTGGACTCATCTGCTGCCCCCAGAGGGCACCTCCCTGCACTTGCCCTGGGGGGTACAGTCAATACAATGGACCAAAGGAAGAGACACTGGCTCTAGTCCCAGGACCCCCCAACCTGTTGGGGTGATAGAGCTGCTCAGCCTTGGACATTAGGGCTGGAATGAGGAAGGCGGAGTAGGGTGCCCCTGCCCAAAGGGAGACAGGAAGAGAATTGGAAGGAAGTAGAGGCCCAGCTGGGTGGAGGTGGAGGCAGTATCCAAGGTGGGGGCTCAGTGTGGGAGGAGGCTGGCAAAGGGATGTTGGAGATGGGGCCCCATTTCCATGAGCAGATATCAGATTTCATGTTATCCATGTCCCTGGCATCTATAAATGGTTGACCCAAAGAATACGTCTTAAACATATAGTGGTAAGTATGGGGGTGAGGGTATGCATGAGTGAAGGCTGAGGTCAGGGCCCTTTGGGTCAGCCATGGGCAGGGGAGGAGTCAAAGGTAAGGGGCGAAGCATGAAGACTCTGGACACCCAGCCTGTCTCGTGCCCTGTGTTCCCTGCCTACCTCAGAGCTGTGGCAGTGTCCACACCCACTGTGTGTGGCTGGAGTGCCCCATTCCTGATGTCCCTGTCCTCACCAACGTGACAGTGCGGGCTCGAGTGTGGAACAGCACCTTCATTGAGGTCAGTGCCTGGGTCTGGAGGTCTCCCCTGCCACCTGCCTGGGTGGGGAGAACAACAGGGAGAGGGTGAGGCCAGGGTCACAGCAAGGCCTCATGCGTGTGCGTGCGTGTGTGTGCGTGTGTGTCAAGGACAGCGTCATGTTTTATACAGGACAGGTTGGACACCTGTCATTGTGTGCTGTGTCAGTGTTAGGTTTTGTGCCTGGATGTGGACATGACATGTTTGTCTCCAGCCAAAATGACCTTCTCTCATGTGTCCATTGTTCTGTCATGTGCCCACGACTTTCCCACCTCCATGCCTTTGACATGCTACTCCTTGCCTCTAGAATGCCAGCTCCCCCTCTTTTATCTCTGGATGTAAACTCCTATTCACCCCTAAAAGTCCCCCTCAGATGCTTCACCACCAGTGAGGTCTTTCCAGCTGAAAATGATCTGTCTTCCGAGATCATAAATCTTTTCAGTTTTGTGAGCCATACGGTTTCTGTTGCAACTGCACAGTTCCTCCATGTAGCACAAAGCTGCCGTAGACCACAGTCAATGATTCGGCATGGCTGTGTGCCCCAGATACTTTACTTACAAAAGCAGGCGGCAGGCCAGACTTAGGCCACACACCTGACCTAGACTGTGACCTTCATTGTCTCTGTTGTTCTCAGCATCCAGCACAGGATCTGATGCACAAATGAATGAATGATGTGCATTTGTGTGGGGGGAGGCCTGGCTGTCAGATCCTTTGGGTGCTGCTTAAGGATGCTGTGTGGTGAGGGGGTAGCCTGGGGGGGGGGCGGAAGCTTAGGGTCAGGAGGGAGGCTCATCTGATTCTTTTAACCCACCCATCTTCCCTGCAGGATTACAGAGACTTTGACCGAGTCAGGGTAACCAGCTGGGCTACCCTGTTCCTCCGAACCAGCGTCCCCACCATTAGCATGGAGAACAAGACTGTGCGGGTGAGTGAGTATGTTGCCTGGCCAGGGCCTGGAGCGCAGGGCATCTCCTCAGAGCACTTTCACACATATCAGCTATGTGGTCCTCCGTCCTGGCAGCACACTGGGATCCTCTGGAGGACTCCTGATGTCTAGACCACAGCCCTGAGCAATGAGATCTGAGTCTGTGGAGGTGGGACCGGCAGTGGTTCCTTTAAAAGCCCCACCACCCCGTGATTTCAATGGGCAGCCGTGGTTGAGAACCTCTGCTTGACCTTATTTGATTCACACAACATCTCCACGAGGATGTCCCATCTCCAAGCAAACTTGGAAAAAAGGTTCCCAGACTTAATTCTGAGTTATACCTGGAAGAGTAAATATGACAATGTTTCTAATAAATTGTTGTGAAAAGGATATAAATGGAGATATGTAGGAAATACAGATAGGAGACGAATGGAGGGTTGGTTAAATATGTTATGGTACATTTCTTAAAATATATTAAGGTACTGGAAGAAGGGATAGAAAGATGGATGGAACAGCACAGAAACGTATTTTATTATACAGATGGCATTTTTAATCAGTAGAGAAAGGTGGATTGTTAAGTCATGTTGGAAGAGCACATTTGGAAGTTAAAGACAAACCCCTACCTCACACCATAAATAAAAATATACATTTGAGTTAGACTAAACATTTAAAATAGGAAATAAAGCCTAATATACCAGAGAAAATTTAGAAAAAAAATGATAATTTTTAATTATGTGGAGAGGGAATAATTTTAGTAAACCCAGAAGTCACAAAGGGAAAATTTGACAAATTTGACTACATGAAACTTTAAATTTATATACAGGCATACCTTGGAGATATGGTAGGTTTGGTTCCAGACCACCTCAGTACAGTGCATATCACAATACACAGAGTCCCATGAATTTTTTGGTTTCCCAGTGCATATAAAAGTTCTGTTTACACTATCCTGTAGCCTATTAAGTGTGCAATAGCATTGTATCAAAAAACACAATATATACACTTTACTGCTGAAAAATGCTAACCATCTTCTGTTGGAAAAATGGCGCCGATAGACTTGCTTAATGCAGGGTAGCCACAAACCTTCAGCTTGTAAAAAAAAAAAAAAAATGCAATATCTTCAAAGTCCAGTAACATGAAGCCTGCCGGTCCAGCACAAGAGCTGATAAGGAAACAAAAAGGGCGAGAGATATATTGCTTTTAAAAAAGTCTATGGCACATATGACGAAGTATTGACATATATATTTAACGTGTAAAGGGCAACATAAAATAAACAGACAGTGTACATATTGTAAAATACAAATGTTTAACTCAATATTGAAGAAATAAAAATAGCAGCAACAAGACTTTTATCCTATCAGATCAGGAAATATGAGGAAGAGTAATTCTATGTGGTGCTGGTGCGCCAGAAGGAAATGCTTTGGATTGGAGTCTAAATTGATGGATTCTTTTTGGAGATGAGTTTGTCAATATCTATTACAACTTAAAATGCACATCTCCTTTGCCCAGCACAGACTTAAGGAGCGAATAGGATAAGCATGTGAACATAAATATATGGGGCTCTTTTAAAGCGTTGTTTATAATGACATGAAATTGGAAACAATCTATGTGTCTTTCAGTGGATTGGTCAATAAATTATGGCACGTTTCTCCAATGATGACGCAGTTATCAGAAGAGACCAGGGTGATCTTTATTAATGGCATCAAAGGGTGATGATATTAAGTGAAAAGGGAAGCAGGTCGCAAAAGAGTGTGTACAGTCCATATAGATCCCATTTATGTGGGAGAAAAAGAGTACACATATTTAACATACGCACTAAAATATGGAAAGAGAGTCACTAAAATGTTGGAGATGGTTGTTTCTCAGGAGTAAAATTATAAGGAGCTTTTGGCTTTCTTTGTAGCATCTGTAGTTTAAAAAATAATAATTTTTAAAGAAATAAGCATGTATAACCAGAAAAAAACTTTCTAGTTATATGTGAAATATATTTAATATATAATGTAATTTTGTATCATAACACATGTCATATATTGTTACATGTAATATAATAATATATATTTCATATATATATGTGTGTGTGTGTGTGTGTGTGTGTATGTGTGTATCTCCATTGTAGGGGAAGAAAAAGAATGGTACTATCTGCTATGCATTCTTTATTGTTTTGTAAATATTTATGGATTGCTTACTGTGTACCAAGTATTGTTCAAAGCAGTTTATTCATATTAAATGCATTCAACCCTCCCAGCAACCTATTAGGTAGGTATTATTATCCAGTCCCCATTTTACAGATGAACAGAGAGGTTAGGCGACTTACCCGAGGTCACACAGCTAGTGAATAGCACAGTTGGGACTTGAACCCTCTAGACCAGTAGTCGGCAAACTGCGGCTCGCGAGCCACATGCGGCTCTTTGGCCCCTTGAGTGTGGCTCTTCCTAAGCCTTAAGTTAATAACAATGTACCTACCTATATAGTTTAAGTTTAAAAAATTTGGCTCTCAAAAGAAATTTCAATCGTCGTACTGTTGATATTTGGCTCTGTTGACTAATGAGTTTGCCGACCACTGGTCTGGGGAGTCTGGCTCCAGAACACATGCTTTGGGCCACTCTATGAGGCAGGCATTATGATCCCCTGAGCAGAGACCATGAAATGGAGACTCAGAGAGCTGACCTGTCCAAGGTCACACAGCTCGTCAGGGATGGAGCTGGTACCCCAGCCTGGATGTGTGCATCACAAACCCAAGTTCTAGGCTGCCTCCCAGACCTGAGGCTGTTCTTTGGAGAACCCAGATCATGGCTGAATCGGCTGCTCTCGGGGGGCCTTTTCCAGTCCCTGCGCGCCCCCTACTGGCAGTAGGTCAAACAGCAGGGTCAGGGACCAAGCTGGGCCGGGAAGCAGGAGCCTGGGGCCTAAGGGGGCGGACACAGGCCTGAGCCCCTTTCCCCGCTCCAGTTCTCCGTGGACATTGACTCCGAGCTGCAGGAGGAGATACCAACCGAGATCGAGCTGTGGCTGGTGCTTGTGGCCGTGGGGGCCGGGCTGCTGCTGCTGGGGCTCATCATCCTCCTGCTGTGGAAGGTGAGGACCCCCGCTGGCTGCCCGCAGCCCCTCAGCCACTCTCCCTTCCCCCCACCCCTCACTTCCATCGCACCCCCACCCTTCCCTTCTCCCATGTCCTCCCGCCTTCTCCCCAGCTTTCAGTCTCACCCCCTGCCCATCCTCACCTCACCCACGGGGATGCTCCGACCTGGGTTAATGGGGGGCCCTGCAGGCTGGAAAGGGGAATCCAGGAACTCTGGCTTCTGGCCACACCGCCCCGCTGGGGCTGGAACCCAGGCCTCCAGGCTCTCCAGTCCTCAGCCCCCATCCATCCATGAGTGCTGCTGGCAAGGACCCCCAGCTCTCCCTGACCGCCCCTCCCACCCCTCCCCTCCGCAGTGCGGCTTCTTCAAGCGAGCCCGCACTCGCGCCCTGTATGAAGCTAAGAGGCAGAAGGCCGAGATGAAGAGCCAGCCGTCAGAGACAGAGAGGCTGACCGAAGACTACTGAGGGGGCAGCCCCCGCCCCCACCCCGCCCGGGTAACTTGGCCTCCGGGCCCTCTTCCCTGAGCCCCCCAGCTGGCTGGGGCCTCTGACTCTGTCCTATCTGCTCCTCTTCCTTCATGGGACCTCTCTGTACCTCACTCTGTCCCCAGCGCCACCCCAAAGAGCAGGCCACTCTGTCGGCCTCCCTGCCACGCCCCGGGAGAGCTTGTGGTGTCTTCCCTCACCAGCCTCCCCACTGAGCCCCTCGAGGACTTGGGACCCCAGAGTAGCCATAAAACCCTCCCATGCTTTCTAGCCAAGACCAAGGCAAGGCCTCATCTCTGTAGCTCACAAGGCAAATTTCCAGATGCGTCTACACCCCCATTTCCACCTCCAGAGAAGGAGGGGGCTCGTAGAGTCCTTCCTCCTGGGAACCAGCACTGTCCTTCCTGGGAACCCCCACCAGGGTGACCCCTGACCCCTCCCCACACTGTGGTCAGGATAGATCCCCACCCTTCCTAGCCCTCCCATCAGCAACCTCGGCGGCCGCCCCTACCTCCATCTGCCTCTCCCTCTCCTCTCGGCCTTCCTCAGCTCCTCCTTCCTCTGGGGACGGTGGGGAACCTCGTCCTCCCAGTGTCGGTGCAGAGAATTGGTGTGTGTTTGGTTTGGATCGGGGGTCCTGGCTTTGAGGACCTCTGGGTGGGGGAGGAAAGGGCTGGGCACATCTTCCCACAGGTCGCTGATGTCCTTCCTCTCCTCCCCCCAACTCCAGTGTGACTTCTTTAAGCGGACCCGCTATTACCAGATCATGCCCAAGTACCACGCCGTGCGGATCCGGGAGGAGGAACGCTACCCACCTCCAGGGGGCACCCTGCCCACCAAGAAGCACTGGGTGACCAGCTGGCAGACATGGGATCAATACTACTGACGCCCTCCCTGATCCCGCCCCTGCGCCCCTGGTGTCCCCTTCTTCCTTTGTCATAAGTTAAGTTATGCCCCGACGGTCCGCAGGGGCCAGAGCCTTTGGCTGGCACCAGTGGGTTCGGGCACACACACCTCCTTGAGCGCATGCACATGCCATCTGACCACAGGCTTCTCCACGCAGGAGGGCTGGGGCCGTGGACTTTGCTACGCCGAGCACACTGCAGCCCTGTGCCCTGGACACACGTGGGTCCCACTGCTGGTGGACTGTGCTTGTGCACCACAGAGGGTGCGTGGACATGCGTGTGCCGGCCTTTGCCGCTGCCAAAACCAAGCCCAAGGGCCTCTGCCAGAGCCGGGAAGGAAAGGCCCCAAAGTGGTGACCCCTCCCCTACTTACACTGGACCCATCTTGAGCCATAGTCACTGGGTGGACTCCGCTCTCGAGACGAAAACTACTGACAGGGAACGGCCCACAGCCTCCAAGCTGTAGTTCCTGACACCGAGAGAGAGAACGCGGGTGGGGCTGGATCTGCCCGAGGCTGTCCAAGGGGGCGTTTGCAGGACTTGGCATGCTCAGGCGCGAGAGCAGAATGAACTAGAAAGAAGGTCACGGGATGGCTTTCCTTCGTGGACCGCTGCGAAGCCTCTGTCCTCAGCCGCGGCATGCTCTAGTGGGGAACGCAGCCTGAAGGAACAAGGATGGACAAGCTGCTAGGCAGCCTGGACACGCGGCGCTGGGACCGCCCTGGGAGCACAGAGGAATCCTCCACCGAGGAGCGGACTGGCTGGTCTCCCGGGCCAAGGAGATGCTGGAAGGATACAGAGGAAATGCCACTCCTCACCCACCGCTACCGTCCTGGCGTCTGCAGGGCCTGGAGAGACCCCATGAGATCGCAGAGGGAGCGACACTTGAATGTAGGACAGGGAGGGAGCCCTGTCCCTGACCCATCGGCCACACCTCACTCCGTCCCCGCCCGCCATGGGCTGGGGGCCTCGAAGTGGAGTTCTTGGCTGGCCTTGGCTTTCATCGTCAACCAGCTCTGCCTTCCTCCCTATGGGCTGAGTCCTGAGGCCCATTCGGGAAGTCGAGGCTGGTTCCGGAAACCCCCTCCTGCCCCCTGCCTGTCAGCAGGCCCCCCGCCCCTTCCACGGTACTGTAGCAGGGGAGCTCCCTCCCCCTCCTTGTGCCTTCTTTGTACATAGGCTTCTCATACCAATAAACAGCTCCCCGTTTGTACACACTGCAGCTGCCTCCACCCCTCACCCCCTCCTCCTCCATTCTGACGGACCATGACGTCTGGCTGCCCCCCAGGTGGACAAAATGCAATGCAGGGGTCTTAAGGCCGATGGAGGAGATACCTCTCCTGCTCTCAGGGACGCTCTAGTCTAAGGGCTGGTCATACACGGGGAACTGAAATGCAGAACGTAAGAGGAGCAGGAAGGCTTGAGTAGAGCGGATGGAATAAAAAATGGCTTTTTGGTGGCCAGTGAGCTGGTTCTGGGACAGGGAGCAGGAGGGAGGGTGATATGCAGGGTCTGGAAGTGACAGGAAGCTATGTGCTGTAGAAACAGGTAGTCCTAGGTAACAGTGGCAGGAGCCTGGGTGCAAGGGTGGGAGCTGAGAGCCCCTCCTACCCCTGTGGCTTAACGCAGGTGAGGACCAGCTTTTCTGCCTCGATTTCCCCCCACCACCTGCAGGTGTCATGATGAGTAGATAATCAGGAGGTGAACCAGTGACCCAAGGCCTCCTTCCGGGCAGGGTTCTGGGAGCCCTCATCGCATGGACACCCCCCCCCCCCCGCCCCGGAGTGCCTCAGTCCTGAGCTGACATCGCCCCCTCCCCAGCATCGGATCAAGCCCTCCGCTTCCTCCTCTGCCCTAGGTTGTTCCCTCCACACAGGCCTCGGGAATGGAGGAAGGCTCTTTTCCCCTTGACTTCCTCCTAAATGATGGCACAGGTCCTTCTAGTCACTTTCCCCAAGGCTGTGGCCTTTGGTGAGACTTCACCGATTTTATTACCCGGAGAAGTCTAGACAGAGGTTCTCTGAGAGCCCACAGACCAGGACGTTCTCCGGGGAGCTGCTCCTGCCGTCTGCCTGGGTACCTCCCAGCCCGCCTCAATGCAGCAGCTGCCTGCCCCCTGCCCCTCCATAAGAGCCCACCTCACAGAGTCGTGGGCCCAGCGCCCCACTCCCCTTTCTGTGCTAGGATCTGCCAGTTCCCAGGTCGATTGGCAGCGGGCTGTCCAGTTCCTCTAGGAAAAGAAACCTCAACCCTTACCCAGAGCTCTCAAAACCAGTCATCGGACGCCTCAGTTTATTTTCCAGAATCTGTTATTCTCTAGGTCAGCAATAATATGTAGGTTATTAAAGTCCAGCTCCAGTTGAACCAGCTCAGTCCAGACCGTTGCAGCCACCTCCTGCCTAAGAAAAAGGTGGGATCGCCTGGCTGGTGTGGCTCAGTGGTTGGTATTGACCTATGAGCCAGGAGATCATGGTTCGATTCCTGGTCAGGGCACATGCCAGGGTTGCAGGCTCAATCCCCAGTGCGGGGCGTGCAGGAGGCAGCTGATTAATGATTCTATCTCATCATTGACGTTTCTATCTCTCCCTCTCCCTTCCTCTCGGAAATCAATAAAAAATATATTTTAAAAAAGAAAAGAAAAAGGTGGCATCTATATGCATCCTTCCAGCCAGCTTCAGAGACCCAGCCCCCAGGCTCCTGCGAGCAACTGCTTAGATGAGACACACACACACAAGAATAAGTCATTTTCAGGACTGGTGCAGCTACACTTTTATGAAAGAAACATAATGGCAGAGACAATGCCCACTTTCATAAAAGGACCCTCTATACCGCCAAGCTTCCTGAGCTCCTTGGGGCCACAGTACCTCCCAACCATTACAGAAGAGGGCCTTGGCTCTCGTATCCAGGCAGAAGAGACAGCATTTGCAACAGCTTGGAGACTGGAGGCTGACTCAAGGCAGAAGAGAAGTATGGTTTGGAGTTGAGCAGTGGAATATGGAGAAATGAGGCTAGACAGTTAAGCCAAAGCAGATCATGTGAGAACTTGAAAGGCTCCAGTAAAAAGTGGAGAGTCAAAAAAAAAAAAAGAAAGTGGAGAGTATTTGAAAGGCTGTAAGCAAGAGAAGTAACAAGTTCAGATTTGCTGTAAATGAGCCTCAGTTTCCCCATCTATAAAATGGAGCTATTAATAGCATCATAGAGCTGGTGAAGAATTAAATGATAAAATGCATACAAACAGTGCCTGGCACATAGGTTATTATTCATCAGCTAAGAGTCCCTTCCCTGTGAGGCCTTGCCCATAGCTCTGTGTTGGCTATAACCTCATTCTGTTACGTCTATTCATTTAGTTATTCACTCATGCAGCTAGCTCCCAAACTGAGAAATGATGTGCCTTAATCCTGTCTGTGTTTACTGTTCCCAGCACAAAGCCTAGCACATATTAAGCACTTGGCAAGTGTAGGCCCCAGGACTGAACAGTGAAAAGGCAAAACCATCAAAAAGGCGCGTCGGTGGATAGGACATACCACGTCCAACCGCGAGAGGGCGCGCTACGCTCCTCCCAGAGAGCTGGGGCTGCTGGAGAAAGGGGGCTCCCTGGCCCCCCCCAACACAAATCACCTTCTTGGACGTTTCTTCAGAGAAGCCCAGGGCGGAGGAAGTTGCCTTCTCAGGTCAAATGAGCTGGAGAAGAATAAAAAGTGTTTTTGAAAACTGCACTCGTAGCGCTGATGGTAAGGGCTGCCTCGCCTCCGCTGGTGGCTGGGTCTTTGTTCGCGTGGGCGGGCTGCGCGACTGTATGAGCGAGTCCGGGGGGCTGCATCCTCCCCCCGAAGTGTGTGAACATTCACAGTCCCTGTCCCCGGGCTGGGACCCCATTGCGGGCGAGCACGTGGGGATCAGGGTGACACAGGGCCTCTGGGAGCACAGGGACGCGTTGGAAGCCACCCGGGCCGTATCAGGGAAGGCAAGACTGGAGGTTCGCGGAGGGAGCCGGGAGGGAAGAGGCGGCGAAGGAGGAGGAGATCCCGGGCCTCTGGGACCGAGGGGTTAACCGGCGGCCGGGCTGGGGACCCCGCGGAGGGAGCCGAGGGGGGCGGGCTCTCCGCGCGGCCTGAAGAAAACAACAGGCCGTTCCCAGCCAACCCGGGCGAGGGGGCGGGCCCGGGTGGGAAGCCACGTGCCGGAGCGGGACGCGATTGGCTGGCCCGGAGTTGTTTGTGAGCGGCCATTGGCGGCGACGGGGAGCCGCCTCCAGCCGATTGGCCCGGTTTTGGAGGACGGCCAGGGCCAGGGGAGGAGCGGTGGAACCGCTAGGCCGGGTTGGGCCGAACCGGGCCGAGCCGAGCGTGAGAGCCCGCCGCGCGGCCACCCGAACCCGACCCCGACCCCGACCCCGACCCCGCCGCCATGCGCTGGCTCCGCGCGCTGCTGAAGAACGCGTCCCTGGCCGGGGCGCCCAAGTACATCGAGCACTTCAGCAAGTTCTCCCCGTCCCCGCTGTCCATGAAGCAGTTCCTGGACTTCGGTACGGAGTGGGCCCCGCGGGTGCTGGGTGGAGCGGATGGAGGGGTCCCGGCCAAGAAGGATGCACGCGGAAGAGAGAGGCCCTGCGTGCCGGGGAAGGGTTGCTGGGAGGGCAGCGGGCAGGAAAGGGTTAACGGGGAGGCAGGGACCACCCGGCCCGAAGGGGTCGTGGGTACCTGGGCTGAAGGGTCCCTGGACTAGACTGTTCATGGGCAGTAAGGGGCATTGAATAGGGGGAGGGGCCCAGGGTGTCTTACTGGGCTTTGTGAGGGTCTTGGAGAATAAGGGGCAGTGGATGGGTGCTATTAGGGCAGGAAGGAGGTAGGGGGTCCCCGTCCAGGCTTATACAAAGGGTCCTGTTGACGCTAAGAGTGGGAGACAGAGAGGAAATGGGGGGGCTGCTGGTGGGGAGCACTGGGAGGTGCTGGCCATCTGGAAGGAGACCTGGGAGGGGTCAGTGGGGAAGGGGCTCTTTCAGAAGATGCCCACAGGAGAGAGGCCCAGACCAGGATCCCTCCACTCACTGACAGAGCCGGCCCCCCAGCTGTCGCTGTGGGCAAGGACACTTGAAGATCAAATCCCCTTAGGCCTGACTGCCTGTCCCCAGCTGGGCCGGGGCCCAGGGCACCACGAGATGGAGTCAGGCGACTTGTGCCCACCCGCGGCTGCCTGCCCCTGGGTTCCTAGGCTAGGAACACCCACCATCAAGGTTCTGGGGGTGGCTCTGGACCAGGAGCAAGGCTGTGCCAGCTGGTGACAGAGTCACCGTGTGGGCCCCGTCTGACTATACGTTGTTTGCATGATGCCACCTGGGGATTAGGAGGGGGTGCCCGGGACTCGCAGGACTTGAAGAGACAGTGTCTGGCTCAGGTTACAGCTGCGTCATTGTTGGGAGCGGGCAGGGAGGGGGCAGCCAGGACACAGAGCACCTGTTTCCTGGACTTGGCCACCTGCCCTGTACCCGTTTGAGCTGCCCCCATGTAGGAAAGCCTCCTGTGCCCACTCGAAACCCCCAGCAGAAGTTTAGTCCAGACTGGATGGAGCCCAGTTATACAAATGTCACACCTGGGAGGGGCTCACAGTAGAGTCTGGTCCACGTGTAGTACAGTGGGGGAAACTGAGGCCTTTAGAAGGATCGTGACATGTCCTGAGCAACAGATTTGGAAGCAAAACCTGGACTAGAACCTGGGTCTCCTGACGGTAGCCTGTGGCCTCATTCAGTCCTTCACCATCTTTCCATTTGGAAGCCAAGCCAAGGACCAGGTTATTTGGGTTACCATCCTTTGGCCCTAACTGCCTCACAGGTGGTGGGCATTAACGCAGGGGCAGCCTACCGTGGTCATCAAGACCAGTTGGGTGATGCTGGGTTGGGCCAGAGCTGATGCTGGGGGCCTGTAGCTGCGGTGGTCCAGGAATAACTCTCCTCAGCCAGGGCCCAGGCCTGGGAAGGGATGGATTTCCCAGGCTGCTCTGCTCACCTGGATCAGTTACCCCAAAGTGAGTGTCTGGTAGGAGGGAAAGAAAGAGAAGCAGTGAGGTAACTGAGGCCAGGGGAGCCAGCTCCACATGGGCCTGGGAGTGGATCTGCCCCCTGCTGTTGGAAGAAAGCAGGGTTCAGCTGGGGGTGAGGAGAGGATGCCGCTCCCCAACGGGTTAGACGGGGTGGTGGGGAGGTCAGAACACTGCAGGGCATTGGGAGAGCTGCCTGCTCTGTGCCCGGATCACTTCTCTGAATCCTCAGGAAATGAAGGACTGAATCAACCTGACCCTTGAGACGTCCTCTGGCTCCGATGGTGTGCAGCTTCATGCGCTCACCTCTTTCTCTCTCTCCCTCCAGGGTCCAGTAATGCCTGTGAGAAAACCTCCTTCACCTTCCTCAGGCAGGAGCTGCCCGTGCGCCTGGCCAACATCATGAAAGAGATCAACCTGCTTCCTGACCGGGTGCTGGGCACACCCTCGGTGCAGCTGGTACAGAGCTGGTGAGACCCCTGGCCAGGCCCCCACACCTCCCTCCATGGCCAAATGCCCTGGGCTCAGAGATGGAGTCTCCATGCTCCCAGCAGCCTTGACAGAGGCGGGGACAGAGGGGAGGCACAGCACTCCAGGAGCCTGGGGAGTTACTCAAAGTCAAGCAAAATGCTAGGCCAGAGCAGGGACTGAGATCAGGCTCCCAGCCTCGTGTCTTAGCACCCTCCTTTCTCTGGAAAGCCCAGATTCACCTAGGAACCCCCTTTCAGTGCCATAACCTCGTCAGGCTAACGTCAGCCTTCGCCCCCAGCCCTGGCCCTGAAAACCCAGCGCCTGCCGGTGATACCGGAGGCAACACTGTGGGAGACAGAAACAGGAAGAAGCCAATCTTCAAGTCATATCGTCCGAGCTACAAGTCACACTGGTTTGGATTGGAAAACACTCAGATAGGCACAGGACCTACACCCAGAGAGTTTCTGAGGGCAAAGGTCACAAGTTTATTGCACAAAGCAGCAGCACCAGAGGAAAAGTCTCGGTAACGCTCACTCAAGAGCTCTGTCCAGGGTTAAGTAACTGGATGATATTAGCCCGTGCCAGTCACGTGGAGAATAACTACGTTTACTCTATAACTGGGCATATAGGTGGCTAATGATGGTTTGTCTTGGGTGCGGAAATCTTGCTCAGTCTGGCTGCCCTGGGTGTGATCAGGCTGTGGTTTCCTTTTGGATTCAGGAGCAACACACCAACCCTGAGCCCAAGGTCAAACTAGGGGAGCCCATGATCTTGGCGGGGGTAGGGTGGCGGGAGGCAGAATAAAAGAAGTCGAATGAAGCACTACATAGATAGTGGTAGGAACAGTGAGCTGCTGAAGGTTTAGTTTTATTTCAGAATAAAAATATTATTTAAAAGGAACACTGGTTGGGGCTTTTTACCCTCATTGAGGAAGTGTAACGTGTTGACTTTGGCATTTGGAAAACACACAAAAAAGTAGGTAGAAGAGAATGCCAACCACTGCCCTCCACCCCATAACCAAACATTCAGTGCTCTGGCTCAGCTCCATAAGGTTTTATTGGGGCCCTCCCGGTATTTTTTCTATGCGTGGATCTGCATATGCATGACTTATTCTAATTAAATGAGATGCAATACAGAAGGAACGTGTTTTGTGCACAAAGCCAGGCACCCGGTCTGTGCAGAGTGAATGTTATTTGAACCAGAAAGTTGTAGGGCAGTTGAAATGGATATGAAAGGCATAGAGGAGGCAATTTGTCACTGGGCCTCGATGAACTGGATCTAGAAAGAAGGGAAGGGCATTCCAGGCCAAAGGAGCTGCTAGTGCGAAGGCGTGGAGGCAGGAAAGTGCCCAGCAAAGGCATCCGAGAACTTGTTTTGTGGATGTAGAGCTACTGGTGAAAGCTGTGAAGGTGGGATGGGGGGACAGAGATGATTTTCATGTAGCCCAACCAGGTTACCCCTTGCTGAGCCCTGCCCCTCCCAGATCCCAGACCTCAGAACCTCAGAGCTAACGCGCATTTCCCACCGTGGGGCAGCATGGAGGTCATAGGGGGGAGACAGAAGGTGCCATCTGTTCTCTACCCCGT